GTTTGTGGCAGCCCTACAAATAAGTGATACATACATGCTTACATACATGCAAAATTCAAGCGCTCTGTCAAACACATGCACAACTCCAAATACCGGCTTTCATAACAGACTGTCTCCGATTGCTTGTATGTGTGTATGCATGCGCACATGTATGTGCATATGTGAGGAGCATTCGTATAAATCGTGCATTTCCATTACACCTGCTGAGTCGAGACCTCCTGCTACGTGCTCTGTATAGCCTGAACCCGTGCGTGTGTGCGTGTGTGCGTTCTAGCACTTGTATAATCAACTCTGCCATTGTTCTCAACATGTGCCACAGGCTATTTTTGCTCCCTTGTGTTGTCAACTATAATATCTTACCCTCACCCTCCTCATTCACTTCCATAATGAACTCCAGTCTACCATGTCATAAGATGCTGTCTGTTAGGTTTCCTCTTATATTTCACTCTGCTGAGCTGAAGCCGACCGAATTGGTTTGATTTGTGTATTGTGTGTTTTTCTGTTTTTTCTGTCATGCAAGCTTGTGAATATTAACTAACTTGGCAGAAGAACAATCTACCTGTGCCTCTGTCCGTACAGCTTCCTCTTACTTTGTGCATGTATTCGTGTGTGGGTGTGTGTGTGTTTATGTATGTAGCAACATGCGAGTATTGGTACAGACTCAGGTAGTTAAGCTTAAATCTCCTACAGTGATGGCAAACATAATCAGGTACAATTAAAAAAATTACCTGACTGATTTTTTCTATATTCCTTTGAGGTCGTCTCTTCATGCATCTCTGGAACACGCCCAGTACTGCTGCATTTTAACCCTCTCAGTCTCAAATTAAGTTTTTGTTGCTAATGCACAAAAGAATACCTGCAGTGGTACTTCTGAGTAAAAAAAAACTCATAAAATATGTATGTGGGGTAATCAGGTTGTTAGCTTTTAACTGTTGCAAATCTGCAACGCCTGCCTTGAGAGGGTTAAAACGCTTGCTTAAAGCCGGCAATTTACTTATGCGCTGGATCGTCTCTAAAGCAGGCCTTCGACTTGAATTTCATTTTAGTCAAGAGGAAGAAGTAAAAGGGGAACCTAAACTGTCGAGAGGGTCAGCTGGCCAACACAGACTAATGGCATGACCAAAGAACTTCTCTCTTTTCAATGTGCTTTCAGTGTGCACACAATGTTCTGCCTGGAGGATGAATGTTGAATGAGCACATCAGGTCAGGAAGGCGCACCAGGTCACACTCCTGACCTGAAGTGGTGCCTTTGGGCTTTTCTCCTGAAGACTACTGATCTCTGGGTCATAACTCATACATCTAGCTCTCATCAAGACAGTTGGAAGTTGGTTCTGATGGACACCGAATTTGACATTTTTCTCCTTTTGCCAGTTTGAGGTAAACATAAAATCTTAGATGTGAATGTGGAAGAGCTCAGAAGGGTGTAAACCAGGGGTGTCCAACTCCAGGGCTTAGTTTACCAATACCACTTTATATGTACTATATTATAAGCTTCTAACCTGGAATGACATCTTTATAAACTATACACACTAATAGCAAGACAGTAATACCATTTTAAACACTGTTTTTGCACCGGGGCTTACTAAAAACAGTGAGTAATCACACATTTTTCAAGCCAATATATCAAACTGTAAGCCTGGTATGTAAAGGCTCAAGATGTCAAGTGAATGTTTAATATTTCCTTTAAAAACTTCAAGGGTTGGACATGATAATAAAAGTAAAAGTATGCCTAAATGCGTTTCCAATTAAGCCTTGATCAGCGTACGTATATGTGGTTACTCACTTTCTACTGACAAGGTGATGGGCTGGCTGGTCTTGTTCTCTCCATTCTTGTCGTTTACAGCTTGCACATAGTAGCGTCCGGCATCCGGTGCCACGGTAGACAAGATAACCAGTGTGTTGTCCAAAGTAATGGCACTGAACAGGAAAAGAAAAGAGATATAAAAACACTCTGCTCATTCAATGAGGAGGAGGGAAAAAAAAAACTGTGAGACGTTCACAGAAAGCTTCTATAAAAAAAAAAAAAAGAAAACTTTAAGGCCGTCTCCCTCTGCCTAATTAAAACTAAACATGTCTGACGTTTGCTTTTGTGTCCACACTTTATCTCGTGGCTGAGGAAGGCATTAAACATTTTAACATTTTAATTACACTGTTCAAGCAGCATTAGGTATATCGATTTACAATGTGTAAACAATGTGTAAGCGCTGACTGAGCAAAGCGGAAATATTGACATTCTCTCCTGTCTTAACTTCTGTGCAGTCGCTTCACAAATATGATAGCCTTGCTTTTAATAACCCAAAGCTTTTAATTAGCTATTTATACCACTCTGCTTCATGTGGCCAGCATTTTGGCAGCAAACTGCTTTTGGCGGGAATCAACAGCATCTTTCTTATTGCCCGTTTTAGTAACGCCTGAATAAATAAACACTGATCCATTTTTCAGCAGGAGGCCTATAGGCGCTAATACCTGGTGTCATGTTGGCTTTATCAAGTCCTCCCTTTCTTCGTCACTATAGCCACCAGTGAGAGAGCCCACCCCCACCCTCCCATGATGTTTGCCTGTCTTCAGTCTTGACACAGATTTCCAACTAGGTGCCTTCCTCCAGATATCGCTTTTACTCTGATTTCATGTATCCATCTACTTACTTTTCTATTCCGCATCTCTCTTTTTCTCTTTCCATCCCACCAGAAGTAGTTCTTAGTAATGTGCTGTTTATAGATAATCTCCTAAACCACAAATAAGCTATAAATTCTCAAATTTGAGCTGAAAACACAATACACATAAAAATCAGTATATTTGTTACAAAAAAACCCAAAGAACAAACAAGTAACACTTTAGGAAAATAGTCCTTTTGGAGTCCTCTACAAACTTTTTAGGCTATTAGCAGTGCTAAAACTGTCATCTGACTGTAATCTCAGTTCATCAATAAAAAACAAAAACTATTCCCCAAGTCATTGATCATGTATTCTAGAAATAGTGTAATTTTTGCTGTTTGTTATAAAAAAAACAAGTGTAAAAAAAAACAACAAAAAAAACTACAACCCCTGTTGTGTAAGTTTCAGACACATTTCTGTTTCACAGCTGATGATTTCCTCTTTTTCTCCTCCTCCAATCAAACCCACTCCACTTCTCCTTCCACTTTTTCTTCCATCCCCACCTTCATCTCATCAGTAGGGGATCGGAATACCTGCTGTGCATGATCAGGGGAGCAAGAGAGCTGATGAGAAAGCAAGCAAAAAAAAGACGCCAACAGTATGGCGCTCACAAGCAAATACAGAAAATATATAGAACTGTGCACGCCCATAAAAAAAAAGAAAAGAAAAAGCTTCACAGATGCATGCAGGAAAATCATCTGACACAGCAGAGAGAGCAATATGCTGTGCATGTGGCATAGAGGTACCTGTGCTGTTAGCATTTAGAGCGTGATGACTTATGAGATGCATCTTGGAGCTGATTGATTTTCAAAGATCTTAAAGCAGCTCCAGTCGCTGGGCTCATCTGGGATTCCTCATGCATGCTGAGACTGAAAACACTCTTCCTAAAGGGACAAGCAGGCCTCAATGGCTGTGGCTTATGATCTGAGGTAAATATTTAATGCTAGCTCGCTGGAGCGGTGACATCCTGGACACACAGCCATGAATTATGGATCTCTTCAGGGATGCGGGTAGAACGGAAGTGTCCAAAGCACCGAATGAATCCCGGGTGGCTTCCCAGGACCTTTCCAAAACGGGGACACAATCCAGGGCTTAACTTCTTTACCTGCCACTTATGAAAGACCAAAATATACAAGCTAGCACTGCTAACCACAGCTTTCCAATGACCTCGACGACGCAGCCCATTGTCTCTGTGATAATGCAACGTATCAGGTGATCTTTGAAGTTCTTTAGTTTCCCTCAAAGATCAAGGACCTGCCAAACTAAGTTCAAACCAATATTATCCAGAGCAAAACCAGATTTCATCAGTTTCTGGGAGCAGGAGGCATTTTCCCCCTGCTAGTTGATTTTAATGTGCTCCCATGCTGAGCATTCACTCCCCCCAGCCTGTAATCAGGGCTGGTGCAGTGGGGGTCACACAAAACTTGGTTACACAGCTTGTTCAGCACATCTAACCACTCCCAGTGTGTGCTGGGCCTCAGGGATCAAAGACCACATGACGCTGGAAGAAATTAAAAGTAAGCCAATTATCCTGAATGGCTTTGCATGTATATCAAGGGAGCAAGAAGGGAAAGATAAGAATTTCGCTTAAAAGAGCAGTTAATGTTTTACATGCTTCTTGAAGTTCCGCTTTAACATGTTCATTATTTTTTTTCTCTTTTATCGTTGTCTGTCTGATTTTGGTCACTCTTATTCAAATCCCCATCTCTCAGCGGTGTTGTGAGCAGCTGTCGGAGGCTTGCTTATAACGATGGCTTAGCACGTATCCGGCACGGTGCAGGGATTTATCAAGCCACAAGGCTGAGAAATTTGGACAAATCAGATATGTGTGAACATGCCTCTGTCTCTGTCTAGTTTTAATGTTTATTCCCACATCTTAGAATGCTTTCTCTTTTTTATTCCAACCCAATTTCCTTTTCCATTATTATTCTTCAGAAAGAGCCATGGTCTACAAGAGAGCCTGGTAGGCAGGACAGCTGCCCAGAAACATCTTGGCCAACTGTGCAGCTTTTACACAACCCTAATTTTGCTTGCAGCAATAAGCAGTATTACTCCCATATGCAATTACTTTCTTGTGGATCAATTTTTTATGTAAAGAATCAAGGGCGCTTTTTCAATGAATGCCAGCCTTATAATGATTCTGTAGCACTTTCATCAATAATAATGATGGGGATTTATGTTTGATTGAAATAGATATAACTATAAATGTTTTATTTGCCACTAGCTGCTTCCCGTCTCTAATTTCCATTATTAAAAATAAATTATATTACAGCAAAATTAAATATACAATGATCACGGTTGCTCCCTTTAATTAAAAACATGTGGTCCCGGCGCTGCAACAGTGGCTTCACAGTGTATCTCCAGAGAGTTCAACCACCGACTTTGTCAGCTTGTATACATATCTTATTTTGTTAATCCAGCACTGACACAGTGTGACAGTGCTGGTCCTGCTCTATCACATACAAACACACACACTCTCTAGTGTTTTGGCATCTGTCGTGGCTGTCCTTCTCCACTGGGCCGTGAGGGGCCTAACCTCGCTCCACAGCCTCAGACCTCCATTACATGCAGACAAATGGCCCCAGTTGGCTGATGGCCACCCCCCAGGAGAGAGAGAGCGAGGGGTCAGCAGGATCAAATGGCTCACATCGCTGGCTAAGGTATAAGTCAAACCACAGGCAGTAGACAGATGAAGGAAAAAGAAAGCTAGAGTGAAAGCAAGCAACAGGCTACAAGCCCTACCGCTCAACAGAGTTGTGATGAAAAAGCCACAGCTCCTGGGGATGGAGGGACGAAGAAGTGAGAGAAATGAGAGGAGGTGAGGGAGTGTTGCTCATGAAAACAGGCACTTGTTTTCTCACTGGGTGTATGGACTGAAGGTTTGTGCCTTACTGTTCGCTTTCTGCTTCCCTTTCACTTGTGGTTCATTGAGTGTTCAAACCAACATAAGGATGTCCCCAACACTGCTCAAATAGTGACATCTAAATGAACTCAAAGCCATTTAAGACCAGCCTACATTAGCTGAGTAACTCGTTGTCTTACCATAACAGGACAACCCTAAATTCTTCAACCATCAACTGAATTCTTACATAAAAATCAACCTGCATTAAGATGAAAAATTATTAATTCATTAGTCAATCAATAGGAACGTATTTTTAATAATCAATCATTTCTTATTGTGAGTCTCTGTGGCGACTCTCGATCCCATTCACAGCGTGGTTTAGCTGGATTGG